ATACTTCCTATCAGTCCTAGGGTAAATATCTACACGCAAAGCCTTTAGCCATAAGCAGACAACATACTGAAGCCTTGACCCAGAAGCCCAGCACATCCTCCACCACTAAACCCCACAGCCTTGCAACGATGGTCTGAACACGAGTGTGATTTGGGACATAAGCTTTGGGGTTTATTTCCATATTTCCTGGAGCACTAACTCTACCTCAAGGTGTCTCATGGTGAGAAAGATTTGGTTCCTGGTACAGGAAAAAAAAAAAGGCAGCCTGGGGCCACACAGACCTTTCTGCAGTTGTTTCTTCAGCCAGAAAGAAACCAAAAATAGGTTTTCATGTGCCTCCCTCTCTGGGGAGGAAGAAAGGTTAATTATCAACATGTGAATAAAGAAGAAAATCCAGTACAACAGTGCAGGGGGTACCACAGGGGACCTTCATCCATCAAAAGCAATTCAGCAACATCTAAACCACAGGTCATGATTAGAGTGGGACAAATCAGACAAGCCTGTTTTTCCTATTTAAAAACACCTACTTTCTGCAAGAAGTCCCTGGAAATGCATTTTTTTTTTAACGTCATTGGCTGGGTGTGACCTCAGGAGCAATCAGCCGACAGACAGTATAATACCTTACCATTTTAAATTAGATCATAGCAATGTCACCCCGACCTTACAAATCACTTTTTAAACAGCCTTAAGCCGAATGCCGTCTCTTACAAAATCAGCCGCAGATCATGGGGCAGGCTAATCTAGCCGGGCTGCCTCCCTGACCCCAGCCTGCGTGGGCTGGATACCTCCTCATCCCCAAATCCCTCCTGCACAGCTCTGCGATGGCGCAGACACCCATCAGGCAGTAAATTATATGAGTTTTTCCCTCCGTTCCTCGAGGGTGCTTTGTACTTGTCTGACCAGAGTTTATCTAAGCCCACACGAAAGGAAGGGGCATTAATACACAAAGTCTAAGCGGATGCCAGCAGCAGCTCACATAGGTGTAAAAAATACTCACGTTCAATCACCACCAAAAAGGAATTTATTTTTTTTTAAGTGTTCTCCAGGTGCTGCAGCACCAGAGATCCACCAGACCAGATGCAGAGCTCGGAGGACTGGTCCCATCATTATGCGCAGGGCCACACTGCTGGATTAGGCTCCATCATCCAAAAAACACAACAAGGCCGAACAAACTCTACAAAGTCCTTTTGGGGATCTGTCCTACCCTTCCCTAAGGCCTTAAGCTTTAATAATTTTTAAATTGTGTTGTGCCTAAATGTTCAATTGTGGAAGAGGAAATCACACCCTCTTGCATCTCCTCACCAGCAAAATGATATTTAATGCTTGCAGCAAGTAAGTAGACAGGTCCTTGCCAAGCTGTCCAAAGGATCTCCCTCCCCCCTGCCCCCACCACTTCCCCTCACCCACATAAATAAAACTCATAAGCCCTAACCGTTGCTTGCCAAACAATACAGAAGAGGGGCTACACAGACTTTGTCATACTCCAGTCATTCCAGTGCCCTTCACAACATGCCTGTTCCCAAGCAATGCTCCTTCATCGTACATCGGCTCCCTCAAGCCCTGCACCAGCACAGACCCTGCCCAGGTGTTTCATGTCTTTCCCTCCACCATGATCCGGCTGTGCTGACAAGATCTGCTCCAGATGCACAAGTCCCAGCCCCTGCCTGCAGAGCCCAGCAAGGACTTTCACATCCCAGGCAGAGGCAAACAGAGCTTTCCTCTCTCCCACCTCAAAATTTCATCTGCCCTTTAGCAGGCGCCGCTAGGACAAGGAGAATTTAAAGCTGCCCAGATCACCTGCAATCATTTCATTCAACGCCAGACAAACTGGGAAGGGGTAAGAGGAATGAGCAGAGAGCTGCCTAGCAGCAGGCTCCAACACATCCTTACCTTTTGCTTTAACTCCCTTTCAGGCGAGGTATAAAGTCCAGTTCCTTGCAGCGGCGACCAGCTCGCATGCAAGCGAGCCGGTGCAAAGCTGGGCTATTTGTGACCTTAAAGCCTTAATTACCAAGCCGCAGTTAGAAGATGGCCAATGAAAACCGCTCACTGGTCTTTAATCTCCTCTTGTGGTTTCTTCTCCGCTCCCTGCTCTCCCAGATGGTAAAGCTGCAGTCAAACACCGCTAACAGGCTGACAGGTGCCAGCCTGGTGCTTTGGTGAAGAGCAAAGCCAACCCTGTCCCCACGGCTCACACGTCCCACACCTCACCAGTGTAAATGCAGGCGGGGAAGGGCTGCTGTCTGTGGGTCAGAGGGAGGTGTGGGATCTCCAGGGAGAGACTGATAGCTCCTTCAGGTTGGAAGGGGCCTCAGGAGGTCTCCAGCCCACCCTCCTTCTTACATGCAGCACGTCTTTAGCCCGTGGTGCCCACAGACTCCAAGAATGATGGGCTCTCAGATAACACCAGTAACATTGGACGTGAAACCCAGGCTACAGACCTGCTACACACACATTACACACCCAACAACCAACTGCTTGAGCCAACTTTGCTAGAAACACTCAATCTTGGCTTTAGCCAGGATTTCACCCTCTGCAGACAACAGTCCTCTTCTTTTAGACTGAAGTCTGCACAGCTCTTGCCTCCAGCCACTGATTCGCCTCAGGTCAATGATGAAGCTATTTATCCACCACGAAGGTGACAAGGGAACTCCTTGACTTGCTCATGCAGACCCAAACTCCAGCCTCCAAACACCACTTCTGTGGTGGGTCCCTGCAGGGTCTGTGCTACCCTGGTGCTAGTGGTGCTTTTCTGCTCAATCAGGGCATCAGGACAAGATGGAGACGCTCCCCTTTACCTTACTCCTTTTTTTTTCCCCCAGAAATATTCAGAGCTAAAGTGAGAAAAGACACACAGGTTGAGATCACAGGTCTCACTTCTCTGGGAAACGGGCTAAAACAAGGGACTTGCAGGTGCTTCCTCCTCCCTCCCTCCAAAAGCATCCCTTCTCCCTTGCTGGAGATCTGCAGAGGAAAACAAGACAGAATTTAGAGGGGAAAAAAAAAAAAAAGCCATTCCCACTGCCAGATGAAGGAGATAGGCCCTCATGGGCGCTAGAGAGCAAACACCTGGCTGGCAAACTAGAAATCTGTGTCAGCGCTCAGCAAAACCAGCTCCCACAGAGCATTTTTGGAAGGCACCCACCACCTGGCATGGTGTGGGATCCTGGGGGCAGCCGCTCAGGGCCGGAGAGGTGAAGGATGAAGACGTCCTGAGAGGGTGAACCGAGGAGACATCTCTGCCTGGAGATGTGAACAGAGCAGACGTGGGAGCTGGTGCCTTCACCTCTGCCATCAGATTTGGTTAAACTCACGCTGTGATCCCATGAAATCACTCATAACGACAAGCTGGTCTGTACACAGATATTACTGCCCTCACTGGGCTTCTCTGCTTCCCCAGCGCTGTCAAACACAGCTCCTTTACCTCCAGCAACCTGAAACCCTCAAAAACCACACGTAAAGCATGAAAAAAGCCTGAGAAACCAAATCTGGTGGATACAGAGGTTTTTAAAACTCCTGTTTGGCTCCCAGCCCAGTAAGGCATCCGCACATCTCATTTTCAATGTCTGCAGCAGTAACATCACAGGTGTATATTTATTTTGAGCAGAAGCTAATTTTTTTTTTCTGATTGTTCAGATTTTGTCATCTTCAGAGCAACCAGCCTGCAAATATCTAGCACAGAGGGTCTCTTGCCTTCTACGGGTTACTCCTGAAATGGCTTTGGATCCAGCCTAACCACGATGTATCACCAAAACCACAGCGGGCTAGTCAATCAGCAAGAGAGCAACATGGCTATTTATTAAAGATCCTCATGTGTGAGGTGGTACCACACCTGGGACTGGGGACAAACAGCCACATAGACGCCACTGGGCTGCAAAAAGACAAGGCGGTCACTGAAGGAGGACGCAGGAGGTTGTCGCTAGAGTGAGGAACGGTTTTCAGTCTGCTCCTGCCTGCCAAACTCATCCTGGATTTTAACTGGGAGGTGGCAACACAACCAGTAAAGCAAAGGACAGACATCACAAGAGTTAAACAAAATTAATGCTGATTAGCAGAGAGGCTTTACAGAGAGCGTAAAGCCCCCTTATAAAGTACAAAACAGGATTAAAGGACAGTTTCTCTGGAGCCCCAAGAAAGGCCTCCTGGATTAGGATGATAATCCCATTCCCTATTTTTAGCAGGTTCGTTACAAAACTGCCACTCTCACCTTTCTAAATTTTGGGACACTTTGTGAAAACCCAGCCTGGCCAGCCGCAGTAACACAACAATGTTTAGCGCTGTCCGAGAGCAGGCAAAGGCTCGGCATCTCAGTGTCAGTGAGGAGCTCGGAGGGCAGGACATCCCCTCGGCCGGTCCCATGGCCACAGCCTCGCATCCTCACTCCTTCAGCCAGGGAACAGGTGGGCGAGAGCTCCGGGGTTTCACCTGCAGCTTCGCAGCAGGCAGAGACTGTGCGGAACAGCTCTGCTCAGGAGTCCTGCCTCGACAGTTTAAATACAGGCAATTACCGCAGGACTGAAACAGGAGCTGAGCATCCCCACCACAGCACCATCCGGCCACCTTTTCCCTGGAAACCATTAGTTAAAGAGCACTAATTAGCCACTCGACTGGCTGCACGGACTCACTCCTTGCAGGGGACACTGACTGAAGCAGGAGGAACAAGAACCGCCCGCTCAAGGTCACCACAGAAACCATCCACAGATGAGGGCAGGAATCACCCCCAAACCCTGTCCGATTGCAAAACCGGAGCAGTTTAACCAACCAGCTGGTTTGAGCCATTTCACCCAGCTGGGTGAACGTCTCCCGAGGTGAAGCTCGGACAGGGTGTGGTTTTGCCATCCACGTTTCCCCACACACCCCTTTATTTCTGAACACCCGAAGGGCGCTTCCCCCCCAACCCCCCCTCCTAAC